GGCAGCAGCCTCCCAGTGGTCTTAGTGGATGATACAAATCTTTAAAAAAAAAAACCTGGAGAGCATCTGCTGCATGTCTTGGTCATCCTTCCTTCACTGATCACATAGAACAAAAAAAGAAACAAACTGTTTTATAGTCCTCATTATTTTTTAATGCACAGACATCAGTCTGCAAGCCACTGTTGTAGTACTCAAGGCTCAACTTGGACATGGGCACTGATGACTCAGACCTGGACTTGGACTCAAACATTGACTGCATTCAGACTTAGAAGTTGGAGATTTGGACTCAAAAATATTTTTTTGTAATAGGCCAATTATTTGGCCCACGATATTGGTATTAAACCTGTTCACCCGCACCATGCTGCATCCTGGCCACTCCACTGAACTGTATAGTCCTCCTTACTATAAATGATATGTATCAAACTTCCGAGCAGTATGGTGATGCAATACACTGTTAGAAAGTTTGCAATATAAAATGGAGACAGCTGTGCCAATGTGTTTAGTTTAGATCTTCATGACTCTGGCACAGGTAACGGAGACTTCCCTCTTGACTCACACTTGACCCGGATTTGAACATTGAGAGCTCGAGACTCGATTCAGACTGCTGTTGCTTCAGCTACTGAGCTGTTTTTATGAAACAGACTACACAAATACACATCAAATTGGTATTCTCTTGGATTCATATGGTGAATTACCTACAGTCAGTCTGGATGAATGACTGGAGAGTGACTAAGGAAAATCTTACTTTTGCAGTTGATACATAGAAAGCCTATGGGAATATCAGTGAAGCGTTTAGGGCACAACAACCATGTCATGGAGAGATAAATCACACCAAAATGTCAGCAGATTACCTTCTGTACAGCTCATCCTCAAAGCCATTTAATACAAGGTATTTAAGTGGTTTCTGCTAACCAGCCTAGTGGAAGGTCAAGCTTCTCTTGATGTGGTGGTAGAGATGTTCCTCAGGGAGCATCAGGGGTCACTCATGCTTTCCATCAACTGCAGCGCTGATTGACATGGAGAAATGTGGATGGGGGCATGTGCGTGCAACTACAACTCTATGGAGTGTTTGCTTTCTTATATAAGACAAAAGGCAGTTGTTGGGTTGTGCTACTTAATATCAGCGTAAAAGAATTTCAGTTGAAGTGATCTCTGTATGGACAGTAACCAACTGTTTTATGTTTTGGCTTTGTGTACATATGTTAAATGATAGAACTACACCACAGAGAGTCAGTAACATGTCACTGTCTGTAGTTTTATATTTAGTGCCTGATCATTTTAGTTCAGCATGAATTACAAGCGGAATCTTTTCACAACACAAAAAGCAAGAATGAGAAGCTGTGATGTTGTGTCTGTTTCTGCAAACCACATTTACTATCAAAGTCAAAGTTGTTTTTTTTTTTGTCTCAAGCCTTCTTAATGTCATTCTGAGTGCATTTGTTTGCCATTCAGTCAGTCTTACTATTACAAACTGGTCCATTTACAGTTATATTAGACCATAGTTTAATCTTTTAACATTGTTTAGCTAGAAATATCCTGGGAAAACATTGAGGTGGTTGTCAGTCTTTTTTTTTTTTTTTTTTTTTTGTGACAGAACACCTCAAGTTCCTCTTCCTGTTGTATGTCTATGTACCTCACACTTCTCCATAGCGGTACGTCAAAGAGGCCAGTCTCTTTTCATAGGGAGGTCATTTCAGAAGGAGTTGGTAATATGTGTTTTAAACACCAGAATGTGAAGATTCTCAGCCATCACACATCAGAAATGGTAAGATGATGACTGACTTGCTTTATAACATTTGGCTCCTCTCCACAAATGAAGCTATTTCTATACCATTTTGTGTTTTTGGTCTTGATTTGGATTCAAATAAAATGCTTTTATTACTATTAATAGCATAGTACCAGATAGATGCTGAGACACCAAATAGGTGATGTTGATCTGAAACATGCAAATTACTTCATGATCCAAGTTCTTTGTAATTAAAGTCAGTTAAAATTCAGTCCTGACTGGAAAAGAACTACAGCGACTGAGAAAATTAAGGCCTCCGTTTTTGCCCATTATGCCCGTTTTTGATTAGTTCCAGGTAGAAACTACTGAGGTACTTGAGTACTTATTTGAATATTATAAGTCTTTTATGTTATAAATCTTTTTCACTCCTTTTCAAATATTAATTTAAAGGTTAAAGCTGTTCTAACCTGCCTATGTTAGATAGATTTGGCACTTCTTGCACACAGCTATATACACTACCAGTCAAAGGTTTGTAGATACTGAAACCACAAAAACAAGGCAAGTTGGCACAATAAATTAACAAGGTTAATAATACTGTGAGTTCATGTTTAAAGCACCGACAAGACTACAGCCACGCTAGCAGCTCGACACTGTTGGCACAGCCAGTGTTAATGTCAGCAGACTAACATGTTCATAATGCCAGTGCTAACATGTCATGTTCACTGGCTTAGTTTAGTGTGTTAGCATGCTAACTGCATGCTACTCCTAAACCTTTTAGACCAACAAAGCCATCTTTGGAGTTATCCTGGAAATGCACGCTCATGTGCTTCCAAATGGTGCACTGTCCTTATGTTTCCTTTTGTACAGCTGTGCCCCCCTCCAGCTGTACCTCTTCTCTTATTATGTACTGGATGTGGGAGGAACATGAAATTGAATTGATTCATTTAAAGCTGTTTGAGATCAGTTAGCATTTATGCTTTTTATCTGAGTTTTGCCTTGTTGTATACTGTTGTATGTTGGGTTAACCGTATGGCTGCCGGTGCAGGCTCTATTATTGGGTAGCTTCCTGTTTCATTAGAGACTGTTACCAGAAGGACCGTATGAACCAATCGTCCTGTGTTAAGTGTTTATAATCATCTAAGAAGTGTGTTGAGTAATTACTTAAGATGCCAGGGATGCTCCACAGAATGATTCAGAAGTTTTTTGTGCCTCCAGCTGTGAAATTTCTGAATGACTGAATGATATTCATTCATTCATTCATTTTCTGCTGCTTAGTCCCTGAATGGGGTCATGGGGGGAGCCTGAGCCAAGACTGGCTGGCAATCGGGCGAAGGCGGGGTACACCCTGGATAGGTTGCCAATCCATCGCAGACTGAATGATATATGATATTTAATTTATCTATCTATCTATGCCATTGGTTGGTTGCTATGGAAACAAGGACAGATTCATGTGATGGGGTTCCTGAGACGTTAAGGATAATGTGATCTGGACAAAGGCAGCGAGTCCAGATTCAAGGTGGAGACCAAGAGTGCTTGTGGCCCACCCTGAAAATTCAGTTTGCTGTTGGAACAACAAGAAGACAAAAACCAAAGCCTGCTGTCAGTACACTCCCACTTTGAGACAGGAGTGAAAATTGATTGCTTACACTTTTGCCAGGCCTTGTGAAATGTTCAGATGATGTGGCACCTAATGACTAGATAGGCATAGACAAACATCATTTGTGTCCACATGGGTAATGATGTTTGAGGGCACCCGGAAGAAAACATGAGCAGAATTTTAATAGCAACACAACTGGCAACATAAGAGAGGCAGCTCTATGTGAACCAGTGCTCATGGAAAACCACACATGGGCAGAAGTCTCTTGAACTGCCCACTTCTGCAGCATAGCTGAGCCTTTTCCTCTTTTTTAAAAGCAGACATAATCCACTTTAGTATTGAAAATCTGTCCAGAGACACTTTCTGCTAACAGAGAGCACCTCCAAGTGTCATCAGATGTCCTCTCGAAGTATGTCTTAGCATATTGTAACACACCACTGAAACAGCTGATAACCTCCGATCATGAAACAGTTATGCAACTTTCACATTGTATTTACAG